GGACACTGCCAGAACTCTACTAGGGTAAAGACCCCTTTGATAACCGGCTGTATCTCTACCAATATTGGTGCCGGGTAGATGTCTAAGGTACCGTTGGAAAGCTGGGGTCGAGTACAATCAGGCTGCTACGTATCAGATGCTGTGTCCAAAGGACGCCTGGGCAATCTGGCATCAAAGTCAGCACTCTACCAGAACTCTACCAGTGTAAAGACCTCTTTCATAACTGGCTGTAGCTTTACCAATATTGGCACTAGGTAGACAACCGAGGTACCTTTGGAAAGCTGGTGCCGAGTACAATCAAGCTGCCGAGTATCAGATGCTGCATCTAAAGGACACCTAGGCAATTGGGCATCAAAATCAGGACTCTACTAGAACTCTGCTAGTATAAAGACCCCTTTCATAACCAACTGTAGCTCTACCAATATTGGTATCAGGTAGACAACCGAGGTACCATTCAAAAGCTAGTGCTGAGTACAATTAGGCTGCTGAGTATCAGATGCTGCATCCAAAGGATGCCTGGGCAATTGGGTATTGAAATCAGCATTCCACTAGAACTCCACTAGTGTAAAGACCCCTTTCATAGCTGGCTGTAGCTCTACTAATATTGGCACCAGGTAGACATTCTAGGTACTGTTGGAAAGCTGGTACTGAGTACAAATAGGCTGCTGAGTATCAGATGCCGCATCTAAAGGACGCCGGGGGTGGTAGTATGCAGGATGCTGGCAGGGGGGAGCTGCTAGGGGGACAGCTAGTAGGGGGGAGGTGGTAGGGGAGTGGTTAAGGGGGATCAGCTAGCAGCTATATTTATCACTCGAAATCTCAGGATGGTAACTAGGCAGAGTCACTTAGTTAGGATCCAATTTGGACATGGTATATCCTAGCATAAATACTAGGATGCACAGGATGTACAGAATGCAACCAGACTTGGCACATGAGTACCAGACGCACAGGACATACCCGATGCAGAATTCTATACTCTTGTATCAGAACATACTGCCAGCACCTCTGACACAGAAATAATTTTTGCTGATATAACTTCTACCTTATCAAGCCTTTCTGACTTACTTCAAAGAAAAAGACTTTTAGGCCTAGTCCAACATACTTGACTTTAGAGTTGACTACTTCCTAATAACAAGTTGCTAATATATAAGATACAAACTACTCTTGGAAGATATAATAAGAGAATATAGTCTTTGAATTCAAGTTGAAAATTCTGAGTATACTGATAGCTGTATATTATATACTGCTAGAAATTTTCTCTATTATCCTACTTACTAAATACTATTATAACTACCTTGTTCTTAAAGGAGAGATCCTGGCCAGAAACTCAAAATAGTTCCAAAAGCAGGTAGAACCTCTAAGACTGAGTTCTTGGTTCTTAGAATATACAGTTAAACTATTAGAAAAAAGAGATAATAGGTCCATTATTTTAGATAGTAGAAAAAAACAAGTAAAAGAGAAGAACATTTAATATAAGATTACTAGGAAGCTCTAAAGAAAATCTTAGCTCTTCTAAGAAGTTATTCAAATATAATTATAAAACCTTCTCTACTTATAATATTACTTTAATAGTTGTAAAGTACTATGCTTCCACATTGTTTTATATAGTAATGCTACTATGGTAACCCTACTATCATCATAAATCTGCTATGATACCAGCTTAACTACAACTAGCCAGGAATTCTGGAAACTTTAGGTAGGTATTAAATAAATACAAAGAAATCTTGAAACAAAATTGTAGAGCCAAAAATTTAATACTTTGTGTACTTTTCCCTTGTATCCAGAATAGTAACTAGTATCCTCTTAGGCATAGACTTCCATAGCCTTTTCAAAAAATTCCCTTTAATATCCTAAGTTTGAACCTGATTCAGAGCTTCTGCTAGATACTTTCTAACAGTATCTGGACCTCCTTTAGCCTTGTGAATGTTAGAAAAATGCTGATGCAGCTTTTCCTTAACCCTTTTCCAACAGTACTCAATAGGATTGGGATCTAGAGAATTGGGTGGCTATTCCATAACTTGTATGTTGTTTTCTGCAAACCAAGCCATAGTGTTTCTTGTAGTATGTATCTTTACACTATCCTACTAAAAGATATGATCTCTAACTGTGTCCTCCACCTCCTCCTAGGTATCAACTAAACCATTCTCCAAAACTCTAATATATATAAATCTATCTATACTCTTGTCAAAGATAGAAATCAGAGAACCCTTATTTTTACCCCAAATACAAGCCTAGACTATCAGCTTTATCTCAGGACCTTTTGTAACCTCATAGATACAGTCTTTGTACTACTTTTCCTCAGGTGTCCTGAAGACTTGAACTCAAATACTCTTAGGATCTTTAGACTTTTCAACTAAGCATTTATCACTAAAAATAATATGCTCAAAATCCTCCTTTGTCCAATTCCTATACTCTATAGCCCAAGCTAACCTCTTGATAGTATACTGGTTTTTCCAAAAAGCACTCCTTCTAGCTCTCTACTACTTTATGTTGATAGATACTAAAGCTCATCTAACTGTGCTCACAGAGGCATATAGAGCAACCTTATTGTGCAATTCAGATAAGGTCTAGTGGTGGACCTTCTTAGACTCTCTGACTAGGTAGTGGCAGGTTCTGGTATTGATAATCTTGATTCTGCTTGGTATTGGAAGGTTTTTCTCATTATCTCTCAACTAGTAATGGTTGTAAAGGGTAGTAGTACTTTTAGGATGGTCTAGGAGCTTTCTAGTTTCAGAAAGAGAGGTTTTTTTTTTCTCTAAGAGCAAAAATTTACCCTTTCTTATAATCTGTAAGATGGCCAATCTTGTGGGAAGGCATTGTTGTGGAGGGGTTGTGGTTTGTAGGGATGGAGTATTTTGAGGTATTGGTCAGTAACCACTGATAGTACAGATCAATTTGACATAGTACTTTATTATTATACTCAGGTTATGACTCCAACCAGAGCATTTTTACCAGCAGCTATCTGGTAAACTTTTCTAGCTTTGTCAAGTTGATTAAAATCCTTCTGTATAGTAACAAGTAGTAGGAAAAGTTACTACAACAGATAAGTACTTAATCTAATATTCTTAAAAGGCTTAAGGGCTTAGATAGGATACAGGTAGTAGGAGTACTAGTATTTAACCTATAAATATTGCAATCAAATTAGGTTTTTCAGAAAGTGGAAAGAGATTTATAAAACTATACAGTATTTCCAGTACTTGTATCCAAAGGGACTCGGATTGAGTCTACTAACTTGAAAAAGTCCAAGTCTATGCTAATACCTTTAATCCTAATAGGAAAAAAAATAAAAGATGTGGGTATATGTATAAGAAATAATAATGCAAATCCGGAAAAGAAACAGCTTCTAGGGAAGTACAGAATAAAACAGGATTAAAGAGTAGGGGGTTCAGGAAGTGGAGGAGTAATACCCGTACAATAAGAAGTATTTATATATATATAACTACTGGATCCAGAGTTGATACCAGTGGGATGAATTTCCTTGGTGGGTATAATAATAATATTTCTTTGCGTGGATGACTACTGTGTCTGAAGGAGACACTCAGGCTTGTGGGGTGGGTTTTCTTTGTAAGAGATATTATTCGGATAGGCAGGAGTGGAGGATTTTCCTTCAGGGGGTCCAGGGGCTGGAGAGAGTATCCCATAGCATAGGTAGACCAGTAACTAGCTAGTTGGTGTGCAAAGAGAACGAAATAAGTTGACACGTCCACATACCGGTGTGGTATACCTTTGCCCCTTATTTACAGACTGTGATATGATACGGGATGGCATGGTATCGTGTGCACCCCGGTTTACGACACGGGAGCAGATGGTAGATTATCGAGTAATGAATTGTGATCTACATTCCAGGGGACTCGCTTACAGGTGTCCCTGCAGGAATCCGAGTATGATAGTAAGTATTTTGCTAGAACCCCCTCCGGCGCTGCAGTTCGGTTTGGACACTGGTGTGATACTTTGTTCCTGTTCCGGCCCTCAAACTCCACCTCCTCACTCTCCACCATACCGGTATGATACCATAAGGTGATACCGGTACCATGACATACTACGGTACACTCAAACCCCGCTGTCCCGGATCTCTATAATACGGATACCTCGCTGTCCCGTATGAAATGTTGTGAATTCCAAAAATTTCCACAGCAAAACTTGACTCGTTGTTCTGGATAACCCGCTGTACCGGACAGATTCTTTAGATTTTGGCCGTCCGGGATAACGGGGTGTGAGTGTACTTGTCTGCATTCCGCCAGCCTCCCTGCCCCGAGAAATCAACCTGAACCCACATGACCAGTTGGCATGCGATACGCCAAAATGACGACTTTCTCAAACGCTTCCCTGCCGCCTTCCCCCGGGTCCCGCTAACCCAGCAGCCTTAAATACCGTAACCGGGAATTTAGCAAGGATTCTCCACATTTCGAACTATCCGCCCTGCGACGAGCACGCGCACGAATGCGGGTCGGGGGAACGTGGGGAATTTTATCGTACGACGATGTTTACGGAGAGTAGCTGCGATTCTATGATACAGTAAGAGCGCAAATTTAGACAAGCTACTGTGCCATCTGGTGTGGTAGATTGGACGGGTATCATACGGTAGATGGAGGGGCAGGGGAGATCGGTGCGAGGTTGGGGAGGGAAAAAGGAAAGGAACATCGCATCAATGCAACACAGCACAAAACACAGCGGCAGTTGAAAGGAAGGGGGGGGCTGAGTCGCTGCGATCAATACAATTCAATCCGGAAGCTATCCCTCCTTCCACCACACCCACCCAGTCAAAACGCAGGCAGCACACACCCGCACCAAGAACGAAAGAGAAAAAGAGACATTCTCCGCCGCAAAAAGCGTGACGTGCAACCATTCAGCTTCTACCCTCTCTTTCTGCCTTCAGCTGCCACACGCACCCAGCCGAACCAAGGGGGGTGAGGGGGGAGAAAGGAAGGGGAGGGAAGGTAAGAAAAAAAAAGAATGATGATGAACATTCTGTTCATCTCCTCCCATCCTCACCTTCAAAAATGACATCCAGATTCTCAGCTTCGAGTGCTGCTGCTACTACGGCGGCAGCAGCGGCGCAGAGTCCACTTGTTTATCGGTCTACGGCTGAAGGCGGAGGGGTGCCAGCTGGAGTACCAGGGAGGGGGGGGAGGTGGAGACGGTGTGCGCTCTCCACGAAATAACATGAACGGTGGGGCTTCGAGCGCTGGTGCCCCGCGAAAGCGGCCTGCGAGGCCTCCATCCATGAATGTGCCGCCGGAGCCGCCGCTGCAGAATATAAGTCGAAGGAACTCGCTACTACCAGATAATCTCCAGGATGCTACAAAAGTGCTTGTTCCATTACCGGCAGACGCGGACTCATCGCCCTGGCATAACGTCCCGCTCGCGTTTGCACTCTTACCCGCCCTCGGAGGTATACTCTTTACTAACGGGAGTTACTTTTTCACGGATGTTATTCTTATCTTCCTGGTGGCGGTGTTTTTGCACTGGCTGGTTAAATTCCCGTGGTTAGTTCTACTTGGGGGTCCGCTCTGGGATGGGGAGAGGGGTCGCTAATCCAAAGGGCGATGACAGGGAGTGGTATAACAGTTCTCAAGCCTTACGGTACGAGCAAGATGCGTTTGGAGCCCTGGCGACGCCGGGGGAGTTCCTGGGGGATAGAGATGCACCGGGTGCGACACGGTCTGCACACGAAGAGAGGTTAAGGGCCGCTGCTGCCAGGGAATTGCGGATGAATGAGATGCTAGCTCTTCTAGCCTGCTTTGTCGGTCCATGTGTTGGGGGTTGGCTACTGCATGCTATCAGGTCGCAGTTGTCTAGGCCGAGCGAAGGGCTTGTGTCAAACTTCAATCTCACAATATTCGTTCTTGCAGCAGAGCTCAGGCCTGCGGCTCAAGTGGTCAAGCTGATTCGGAACAGGAGCTTGTATCTTCATTCGGTTGTGCATCACCCACCGACGACTAGGATGGATGCTTTGGAGGCAAGGTTGGAGGAATTGAACGCTGAGGTTCGAGATCTCACATTGATGACGACCAAGGCTGTGGATAGAGATTCTCATTTGGATGCTTTGACGAGTAGGGCTTCCTGCCGATAGCGGATGTCTGCCCTAAGGGAACAGACTGCTGATTCAGGCTCCCAGGAGCGGTGCGCCGCTACGAAAAACGAGAGACGGTTCATTCCGCTCAAACGGAGAATCGGATCCTTGAAATAGATAATCGTCTGAATGATGTCCTTACTCTCACTGCTGCCGCTTCTGCTGGGCAAAAGCACACCACATTCTCGATGACCCTGTTCCAGTGTGCCTGCGCTGCGATCGTCATCCCGTTCTCGCTGACCTGGAGACTTATCAGTTTGCCGGCCAGGGCCGTGGAAGCCTTAGCGGGGTTCAGTAGAAACCAGCGATTGCTAAGGGTGGGGCGTCGTCAGCAGCCAAGATTGAGGGGTAGGCCGAGAATCGCGAAATCTAAAGATGCGGAGAGTTGAGACGATGTTTGCCGGCTTGGTAGGGGAGGCCTAACCACGAACTCTATCGCCTGTGGGAGTAACGCAGGAGGCATCTGACGCACGTGCTGATGGAGGAAATGTCAAGGATCTTTATTAATCCCGGGGCGTTTTGTTTGCTTTTTCCCTCTATTCCTCCTGTCTTTCATTCTTTCCATTTCCATTTCCATCTCTACTCACTGGGGTCACGGGAGAAATTGAGATGCATAGCACGGTGCGCCAGCGTAGAGTCGCTGTTAAGTGGCGGGAGGTTTGTGCTGTAGGTTAGATAACCATTCGACTTCGAACCTCAATATTCGGGAGATGGTGCCTTCGATGCAATGCAGGGCAGAAAGAGATGAGAGGAGAATAGCACATCTGCGAGGAACGATGCAACTGGCCTCGAGCGCTGACTCGTATTGGGGAAAATTTCGGAGAAAAGTGCAGATTTGTTAGGACCCCATAATTCGGTCAGCCAATGCGGTGGTCTAATCGATAACGTAAGAAGTGAAGCCGAGCAATCCCACACATGTCATCCGGCTATCATATGACATGGCGGGTTAGAAGATTAGGAGATTTTTTTTCCTCCTGGGGGGGGGGGCAAAGGAGGGGAAATCTTTAGTCATGAGCCAAATAATTCTTCCGGCCGGAGGAAAGAGAGATTCATGCCTGCTGGGGGGATTACCGGTGCTCGTATCATATCATACAAGAACATACTACCGTACTCGAGCACACTAAGGCGGGAGGAAAACCTGACAAGTTTAAAAGGGATGAGAAAAGGAGAGGATAGCCTTGGAGATCTACCGTAGAACCGCTACTGTCTAGGGCTTAGAGATGTAACGATGGAGAGCGGGAGAGTTGATCCATTGCCCATTTGCTTGCCACTGGCCCGGGGAGGAGTCCTGGTATGAAGCAAGAGATAAGCAATCATATCCGTGGACAGCCAGAAAATGGAGGGTGGGTGGATAGAGGAGCCCCGGATCCTCAGAACGATCCCATACTGCGGAACCTCAAGCAATTGAACCATGTGCTGCCGGCACGATACCGGTGTGTCGTTCGAGTTGTCCTATCCGGCGATGTCTGGTCTCTCAGAGGCTGAACCACTCACCCTTTGCTGTGCTTTTCGCACCTTCTCCAGGGAAGGAAATTTTGGACTACCGAGCACACGGCCCAACCGTCTGACATTCTTCCGTGGTCGTACTAACGAAAAAGGATGAGAGATAAAAAAAATCAAAAGATAATTCCCCCCACATCTCCTCTTTTCTACATTGTAAATGTCTACAGAGCCCTCCCAACCACGGGCCGGGAGAAGGGACAAGAGAAAGCAAAGGGATGAAACAAGAGAGTATCGTAGAAATTCAAAAAAATTTACTCTGCCCTACTGATCTTTCCCCTTTTCGTGGTTGCCTGTCGAGTTCTGCCCTGTCGAGCCTTTCCTCTTTCTTCACCCCTTCCAGCGCACTACATTTAAGCTTGTCGTCGACTCATAATTCTCTCGACTCTCTCCACCCTTCTCATTCTTCCTCGCCCCCCCCCCCCTAANAACCTTCTCAAGCACCAACGACCCGCCTCCAATCCGTCTGTCCACTGGTTAACTTAGCTTCTACCAATATGTCGACCGCATTAGCTGTTAACGGCAATCACGAGCGTAGTGCTCCGTCAACTGACTTTACCGTCAAGACTGGTCTTGCCCGTATGCTTAAGGGAGGTGTCATCATGGACGTTGTGAATGCAGCGCAGGTATAGCTGGGTCCTTGATGATATCTTTCCGATTATTGATAGTTGGTTAGGCAAGAATTGCGGAGGAAGCTGGCGCCTGTGCTGTCATGGCACTCGAACGTGTCCCCGCTGATATCAGGGTTCAAGGCGGTGTTGCCAGAATGTCCGATCCCAAACTCATCAAGGAGATCATGGAGGCTGTCACTATTCCTGTCATGGCGAAGGCGAGAATTGGCCACTTTGTCGAGTGCCAGGTATGTTTGAGCGCATCGAAACCTCAACACCCAGAGATTGCTTTGCTCATTTAATTTCAAGATTTTGGAGGCTTTGGGCGTGGATTACATTGACGAATCCGAAGTTTTGACCCCCGCCGATAATACCCACCACGTTGTTAAGCATGGCTTCAAGGCTCCTTTCGTCTGTGGGTGCAGGAACCTTGGTGAGGCTCTTCGCAGGATTAGTGAAGGCGCCGCTATGAGTGAGGATCTCTGAACCTTCGATTCAGTTGGTTGGACGGCTAATGGTCTTCAGTCCGCACCAAGGGTGAAGCGGGAACTGGTGACGTTGTTGAGGCAGTTAAGCACATGCGAACTGTCACTGCTGAGATCCGCAGAGCTACCCTGATGTCCGACGAGGAACTCTATGTCTACGCGAAGGAAATCGGCGCGCCATTCGATCTCCTCAAGGAAACCGCCAAACTCGGCCGCCTTCCTGTAGTTAACTTTGCTGCCGGAGGTGTCGCCACCCCCGCTGACGCTGCGCTCATGATGCAATTGGGATGCGACGGTGTCTTTGTCGGCAGCGGAATCTTCAAGAGCGGAAACGCGGCAGTTAGGGCGAAGGCAATTGTTCAAGCCGTCACTCATTACAACAACCCCAAGGTCCTGGCTGAGGTTAGCTGCGATCTGGGCGAAGCGATGGTTGGCCTCAACGTCGACGCTTTGCCAGAGTCTCAGAAGCTCGCGAAGAGAGGCTGGTGATGATGTTGTTTTCTTCGGGAAGGGGCGTGAGGTGGTTTTCTGGTTTTCTTTGCGATGATCTTGCCCGAATTGAGTCCACGTTCTAGCAGGATCTAGCACTTGATGGGGGTTAGCAGCCGGTTCCTGGACTGTATATCAAACTTTTATACTCTGCACCTATGAGCTGAGAGTGGTCTTTGTGCTTGATTCCCGTGTTCATTTTTTGGGTCCACAAAAATATTTATAAATATTCGCTATTTTTTATTTTTATTTTTGTTCCTATTTCTTTTTTTAATCATCTGCCGTGAATTTGTTGCCATGAGATTAAGATGTGAAACCTATGAGCTGTGCCAGCATACAGCTGAAAACTTGGTTGAATATCCATGAGGATTCGGAAGTCCTTCAAGACACTCACGTTGGAGCACGGGTGAAGAAAAAAAATTCCACCCCACCAAGCCCCACCTTCCTATCCGGGCTAAGCCTCTCAGGCAAAAATCTCAGAGCCGCAGCAACCATTGTCGGGATTGCTTCCACCTCTAACCTCCCAGCAATAGCTCCAGCCTCCAACCTCCAAACAACCCATCCCATCTCAAAATGGCCCCCCTAGCCGCCGCGGCAAAAACAGAACTGACCTCCATCAAACCCGAAGAACCCGACACCGACTCGGAACCCGATGACCCAACCCAGCACACCTTCACACTAACCCCAGACTTCCTGTCAACAATCCACCCGACTCACTCCTCCCTGAAAAACTCCCTCCGTACACAAACCCGCAGCCTAAGAAATCGCCTTGCATCAATCACCGCCGACTCACAATTCGTCCTCAGCGTCGCGGCCGCATACACCCTCCCGCTCATGCCCAACGCCCGGGCGGGTGACTGGTACGTCCCTCCAGAGCACAGAGGCAGTAATACGAGTGCGTATTTCAAGAGCACGGATGGACACCCGGGGCAATGGGGATTCAGTCTACGGAGGCTGAACCTGCATGTTTTGGAGTGTGTGGGGAGACGCGGTGGTGTTGTCCTTGTGGACTCGACGAGACGGGGAAAGAGGTTCCCCGATGCATTGAGTAGGACGGTGCCGCTTTGGATCGCGGTGGTGAACTGGTGTCTGTTTGGCCAGGAGTTTGGGGAACTGTATGTTTCTGAAAAGATGGTTTCGGGGAGTGAGAGGGCACAGATTGAGAGCTTGGTGCCGGGGTTTGTGGAGAGATTTTTGGTAGAATTCTAATCTAAATATGACAGATGGTCAGGCTAACATTTTGTGGAGCAATAGGCATTAGGGGTAGATTTGTCATCATACACACAAACTATCACGAAACCCCTCCGCCCGGTGTGGGTATCTCCAGAGTCTATACTCCCCATATCGCCTTCCAAACCCGAAGAGTTTACTCCTGTCATCCTCTTAACCGCATCGAAAACGACGCTCGGGGAGGGTATGGAAGGAGAGTACATCCAGGGCGCCGGAGACGACCACGAGGGGTGGGCTACTGTACTTGCCTCCCCCCCCCCCCCCCCCACCATCCCTAGGACAGCCGCTAATAGCAATCAGGAATCAGGCCTAACACCAACTCTGTTCTGGCGCCATCACACAAAAATAATGTCCACACCAGAAAAAGACCTTCCTGAAGTAATCAAGAATCTCTCACCCCCACCATCGAATAGCACACTGGACGGTTCACAAATCACCAGAATCGGCCAGACAAACATATCCATCGCCCCAACATCTGCTATACCAACCCTCCCTTTAGCACCTGCTTTTGACCACATAATCTGCACATCTCCCACTCCCCTCCCCCCCGCGAAGGGCACCTCGCCCATACCATCTCACCACCCCATACCAAATACCCCCCCTGGCGCAAAGCTCCTGAGAAAATTGCTACCGGAGATTACTTCCTCCATCACTAGCCCCGCAGGGAACATACTCGTCACTTGTGATAGCGGGGAGCACGTAGCGGCTTGCGTTGCGCTGGCGCTGTTGTGTATGTATTATGACGATGATGGGAAGTTTGGGAAGGATAACGGCGTGGTCGATAAGACGTATATCCGGAGGAGGCTGGCTTGGATTACCACGGCTAGGGAGGGGGTTAATCCCGCCAGGACGTTTCTGAATGGCGTTAATGCCTTTTTGATGGGCAGGGGGCGATAGATGTTAAGCACGATAATGATGCATGATTCGGTGTACAGCAAAGGATAGATGAGGCCAGGGTTAGGGTTTATAGATATATATATATATGGGAGTGGCTCGGTTCACCCGGTTTGTTTGGTTCGATGGAGCGAATGAAGGGTCTAAATGATATGGTGGAACCAGGAATTTTTGAGCTAACCCCGCAGCCCTCCATCTCTCATTTCCGGTGATTCATTAAGTATATTCTAACACCACACCCCCTTTCGGCACAATCAGTTAAGCAGCAGCACTATCCTCTTCTCCCTCCGGATGCAACGCCAAAATGGGTGTTGCAGCCATATCCCCATCGAACACCAAGAAATTCTGCAACGGCTGCTCCCTCTTACCGAGAACGTTGATGACATCCTGCGCCAAGATCCCACCAAGAACCGCCGCAACGGGTGCCATTTCCGACGTAGCGTTCTCCACAAATGGCCCGATGAAATTCGACTTGACGATGTCGTCCGGTAAGCCCAGATCGCGGTTAGCCTCCGTGATCAATCTCGTCATCTCGGTGAAGTCCCCACGTTTGGCTTCTGGCAGACGGTTGTAGGCTTGCTGGAATGCCCAAATCGCTTTCACGCCCGGGAGGACGTTCGGGACCATGCGGCGGCGGCGGGGACGCCAGGTCGAATCTACCTTGCTGGAGACGACGGAACGGAGGGGGGAGTAGAGCTCTTGTTTTGTGACGAATTCCAATGTTTTCCCGGAGTCCTTCTTCTCGCGGACGGCTGTTACGGAGCGGGTTTTGGTTTCTTGTTTGAGTTCGGTTCTCATGTTGGACTTTTCGCGCTCGCTAGGATACACATTAGTTTGTAGTAAGGGGGGTTGGAGGGGGTTGGAGGGGGGGCACGTGCATGATGAAGTCGTGCTTTATCAGGTCCGCAAAGATATACCCGTACATTCCATATGATGCTGCAGCGTAGAAAGGACGACTACACTTACGGGTGATATCGTTCACGTACAACTTAGATTGGATGTTAGAATAACCAGTTGGAGAGTGGGGGTTCAAAAAGCATGGATACCAAACAGTCAAGGTCCAATTCCGTCGCGATGACAATGTCAAACTTGCTGTAGAACTCAACGCCTTTACTCCTGGGGTCCGAAGCATCCACGTTAACCGCTACACGCGGGTTCAGTCGCCGTAACGCCGGTGCTGCCGCTTCCGCTCTCTGCTCCTCTGTCAGCTCATTCCCGGATACCTTGGAAAGATGACAGACATTCAAGCCAACACTCTCCTCGCTTATGAGAAACTGCGAGCCTAGATCCTCTTCGGTAACAATCCCGGGATCCAAGACCGTTAGAGAGCCAACTCCAGCAAGAACTATGTTTTTCGAAACCTCGTTGGAGAGAGCTTTCATGATTATTACTAAAATGTGTGCATTGCGCATTCTACGCAGTTTGTTAGATCTTACCAGGGGTGAAGCGAGGGGGGGAAGACATACCTGGCCTGAGCTTCCATTCCCCATAGTCGGATTTGGCGATCGTAGAGGGCTACTTCGTCTGCTTGTTTGTTAGCACAAACTGTGACTCCTGGATTGATGGATGGGACTCAACCTGCAGAGATTGTTTGAGCTTCAGAAATAGCTGCTGCTGAAGTCTCCGACGCAGAGCCGATATCCGGGACAGGAACATTGTTATCTGTTATTGAAGGGGCCATAGTGATGTTGGGTAGAATGTGTTTTTGACTACCGTTGGGTGTGGGTTTGAAGGTCGTTAAGCTGGTGATTTTTTGGGTCGGACCGGATTGGATTTCTTATTGTGCAGGGGTAAGGCAATTACAGTTGCTGCCCAAGCTTTAGATTCAGATGATGGCTTGGCGGTGCGGGAGCAGCCAAACCTAACCCATAATCCCTTGGAAGTTGATCCACCATGAAGCAGGAACAACGCCAACCACACCAAAATCAAGATTGCTTGGCCCACACCAATTTTCCAAGTACGGTATAGCATCATACCGGCATGATAAACCTACCGGCAAACCATCTTATCGAGCATTTTCACCCAGTATCCCGTGCTGCGAATATCTGGGAACTTGTTTCGCGCCCACCCAAAGCCTCCGGATGCGCTCGAGTACATTCAATAGGCACTCCGAATCCCCACTTCCAACGGGAAAATAAAACCGCTAGTAAGTTACTTAGAGCTTGATCTCCCTATCTCTCATAGCCATTTAATTTGTGAAATTCGGAATTCTGTGTGCACACATCCGATTTTGGGTTTGGGGGGGGGGGTTTTGGGGGGGTAGGCTAGGAGTACTGTACCAGTACAGTAAGACTCTCTCTACTCGAGGTATATAGTATCACAAGCATTCGGAGATAAACCTAGGTTACCATCAGACACGAGGGAGTATGGATGGATTCTAAGATAGGGATGGAGTAGGAAACTTTATGTGCCGGGACTCCTGACCTCAGAATCTAATAGTGACTAAAACCTAAGTGGACCACTGCCACAACTATTCTCAAGACGAAAGGGAGTTTCTGCTATTTCCCGGGCCCATGCATGCATCTAATAGCATAGGCGCAGGGAAACTCTCGCACGATATCTCTACTGTACGTTATCCGGAAGTTGATGGTTCAGTGGCAAAGTATGAGCCTCTAGTTCAGTAATGAACCTCCAGGACATCTCCAGGCAGTAGAACCGAGGAAAGTTCTCTCGCTATACGAATCACACGCAGTGGCCCTGGGAAGAGGTGTTGAGGGAAGGGCTTTTGCGACCTATCCATCTATCCACTGAGCGAAACATTTCAAAAATAGGGGGGGAGAAAGGACTGTTTGATCTTAAGATTTTGTTATGATAGGTTAGCCAACCATTGCAAGCACGGTAGCTTAAGGTTTGATTTTTAAGTTTCAGGTCCATTGACTAACAGGTAAGGTATCATACCCAGACAGAAAAGGGCCACGACCCAGTGCTTTACGCCCAAATTCAAGGATCTTGGCACCTCCATTTCCGGATACTTTGCGAATTGGTGAGTGCGAGCGATTACCGTAAATCTCCCAATACAAGGGCACCAAAAATCTGTATTGCAGCTCGATGCGTGATGCCATCCCCCCCTCTTCCACCTCCCACGGGTCTGAATGCCGGGGCGAGCTCCATTTAGTGGTGGCAACGGAGCTGGCATACACCGCCCTTTCAAGGTTGGGGAGAGTGGTATCTTCTCGTATCGCACATCCAAAATGGGCTTTCTTGTATCATAGCTTGCTCATCCGTTATTCATATTGTGGGGTCCTAGGCCTGCTTGTGAATGGCGTAGGTCCGGAATGGTAGCCTTAGTTGTATACCAAATCTCCCGCCTGGGTGAAAAAAGCTACCGGTATATTGATACTCTCTCCCCTTCACTTGGTATGGTGCATTGCACTTATAACGTATCATACATCTGGCTCCATGCAACACATAATGCTCAGCCCTCTCAGAAGAAAACCCTAATGACTAAAGCAAATGCAACTCCCGATATTTTATATCCAATTCAGAGTGAGTTCTGATGAGTAGTATGAGATACCATCCGATACATGTACCTAGAAAGCATCAGTCCCATAGGCATGTCACTCAGGTGCCCGGCAGTGCTATGGAGTTGGTATCAAACTAGCTTTTTTCTCTTTGTTCTTTTTGTAATTTTGTAGGTAAATTACTTTACAATAACAAGAAAGTTTGCATTATTATTAAGGAGTTCAACTTTAAATCAATGTACTATATACAGTAATATTGAGAGAGCCTATTATGTAGTTGAAGAGGTGTTGATGATAACCATGCCCATATATCAAAAATGGTATCAATTGACTTGAGGGTTAGCTGAAATTGATAGTTTTTAGTAATTAGGGTTTTCTTCTGAGAGGGCTAAGCGTTAGTCTACGTGTTGCATGGAGCCAGGTGCATGTTGCAAGTACAAGGTGCAGTGCACCATATCATAGGCCCAAGGAGAGTTGACCCTAAACCTCCAAGATGGGCCAGGACAAGCCAAAGAGCATAGTGAAACGAAAAAGGTGGTCACTTAGCTTCACCACAGCCGGGTTTAGTTTCTGCCGGATACCATTGCCGCATTGGAAACAGGAGTGATAGTTTGTGGGGAAGTAACCCGCAGTCACCTCAGCTGCATTTTAAAGCTATTATACCATAGGTTAAAATGAGTACGATATCATTAACTCGAATGTAGATGCGCAATGGGGGCCCTTACCCTTATAGGGCAACACTACGCATAGAAGGCTACTAGTATGATACATACTGTGCTGCGGTATGAGTCCGGTATCCTAACTACGCCCCTAAGAAATTAAGCTGTTATCATACCGGTATGATACGAACACTATCACCCGTAGCCCTTTCGGAGTTTAGGCGTGTGTTATCACGTGCTCTCCACTATTCTTGTGAGAAAAAGAAAAAAACAAAAACAACCACAACCACACAACCACCCGAGCCAATCCCCAGTGTCAGCCTCTCTGTGAATTTCTCCCCCCCGCATCCCCTTAGGACCCTGCGTTCCCCCATCTTCCATCCCATCATTCCCCACCATCACCTCCTCCAGATCCCCCTTTTTCCCCCTTTTCCCCTTCACCTCCGAATTTAACCGCTTTACGGCTCCCCTCGACTAGTGTGAGTACGGATCGACTCGGAATTCCTTACATTCCTCTACGATAGGATCTTTGTCGGAATATTCCGAAGAAAAAAAAATAGATAATGGCCAGTGCTTCAGCGGAGGCGTTAGAGTTGAAAGCCAAGGGGAATGCTGCGATTGCTAGTAAGGATTGGAAGGTAATCATATGGATCGTTCACATTGTTTTCCTCGCTTTGGCGTGGAGCGAACAGTGACGGGGGATTGTTCAGGCTGATCGTGGCAATCACAGACTGCGGTCGACTTCTACACTCAAGCGATAGAGCTCGATCCGGATCAAGCGCTATTCTATTCCAATAGGGCCCAAGTATATATAGTCTTACCTTCTTATCGGGAGAGCTTGTTGCCCGGGGGCTTATCAGCGGCATGCTCTATTCTAGGCTCATATAAGGATGGAAGCGTACGGAGCAGCTATTGAGGATGCGGCGAAGGCGATTGAGATAGATCCGGCATCCGTTAAGGTCTGTGGAAGCCATGTTTGAGCTTAAGGAAAAAGAAATACGGGCGAGGCTACAGTGTGATTATGCTTTGGTTGCTGACGGCTATTTGGTTTCGAAGGCGTACTACCGAAGGGCAATCTCCAACGTGGCACTTCTGAAGTACAAGGAGGCTCTTAAGGACTTCAAAACTGTTTGCAAAAAAGGTTCTATACTATGATCTCTGGAAACCCGTTCTGGGAAATTCCAGTGATTTTTTCGGTCTCTTTCGATGGATGGGGGGCTAATATTCTCGGGGGCGGATTGCTTTGGCGGTGTTGGACGTGCTTAGCTCCAAATGACAAGGATGCCCGCCTAAAATTGAACGAATGCGAGAAACTTATTCGGAAGATTGAGTTCTTGAAGGCTATAGAACAGAGCGATCCACCGTCTGCTGCTGAGGGGTTAGATCTAGATTCTATGGGTGTGTTAGAGCCTGCCCCATGCTCCCCACTTCGGAAGGGGAAATGCAAAGGTCCTAAGATTGAACGTTTCTAAACTTGCCCAACATTTAGTGGTTGAGAGTGAGTACGACGGCGTTCTTCTTGAAAAGGAGATGACACAGGAGTTCGTCGACGATATGATCGAGAGGTTTAAGAATGGCAAGAAGATCCACAAGAAATACGCATACCAGATTATCCTCAAGGCGAAGGAGATATTCCACGCCGAGCCAACTATGCCGGAAGTCGCCATCCCGGACGGCAATAAGATGACGATCTGCGGAGATACTCATGGTATTTTAGCCCTTCAACATCATATTGAGTCGCGCTGATGGGTTACAGGCCAATATTTCGATCTGTTGGAGATCTTCCGTCGCAATGGATTCCCAACAGGGACACACGCATATTTGTTTAACGGTGACTTTGTTGATCGGGGATCTTGGTCCACTGAGATTGCTTTCCTTTTGTTCTCTTATAAATGGCTCTTCCCCAATAATTTCTACATAAATCGTGGCAATCACGAGACGGATGACATGAACAGGGTTTACGGATTTGAAGGGGAATGCAAAGCCAAGTACAACGAGCGCACTTTCAAATTGTTCTCGGAAACGTTCAGCGCTTTACCTCTAGCCACGCTAGTCGGCTCCAAGTATCTAGTTCTTCATGGAGGGCTATTCTCCGACGATAAGGTTAATCTGGACGACATCCGAAAGTTGAACCGTCACTTGAAGAAGCAGCCTGGACAGGAGGGACTGTATGGCCCTTTTATACTCAAGCCCGAGGACTTCAGCTACTAATCGGGTGCCCTTAGAATGATGGAGATGCTGTGGACCGATCCACAGCCTGACCCCGGCCGCAGACCCAGCAAGCGTGGTGTTGGTCAGCAGTTTGGCCCAGACGTTACCAAGACTTTCTGTGAGCGCAATGGTCTAGAGGCCATTATAAGAAGTCACGAGGTCCGGATGGGAGGTTACGAGGTGGAACACGATGGACGGTGTATCACTGGTACGCAGCCTCACCCCCAAAGTTTAGCTAACCAGATACATTCTAACAACCACAGTCTTCTCGGCGCCCAACTATGTCGACACCTCCGGAAATAAGGGTGCCTACATCAACTTGGGATCAGACTACAAACTGGAACACAACGTTTTTGACGCTGTCGAACACCCCCCGATCAAGGCCATGGCGTACGCACAAAACTCACTCATGTCAATGTAGAGAGTTATTACGTACGCTCCACTATTTTCCAAGCACGCTATTTATCGATTACATGGATGGGAGTAGACGTTTTTATCATTGACTTTATCTCTCTACGATCAAAAAAAGAAAAGAAAGAAAAAAGGTCTTATCGATAAAGAAACAAAAGCCCTATCCTCTCCTTTTCTCCCCTTCTACACGACAAATTCCGGAATCTCTGTTTGGGCGTTCTTGTGCTGGGGGGGCTTGATTTTCATTTCCATATTCGCGTTTACTAGTGGTTTCATATTTCTCTTTCTTTCTTTCTCTTCCCTATCCTTCTACATAGCCTTCCTTCCTTCCTTGCGCTTGCTTCCCTCTCTTCTGTTTTTTTCTTTTTCCATCGAAGTCAGCGTGCTTTTCTCTTTTGGGTAACTCACTTGCTCACCCGCTATGTATAGTAGGGTGGAAAGTGAGATGAGATGGGTGGGATGGGACAGATATTGAATGTATGAGTGCTGTAGACCAAGCACTTGATAGAGGTTCATGGCATTGTATCTCGGAGACGCGATACGATGCGGTGTGGTGGGGATGGGGCTCGTACGGGCATAGTACTAGTACGGTAGTCAAGTTAGCACTGTACCCCCTGGCTACGGTATAAAATGAGCCCACAAAAGCAAATGATCAAACATGTACAAGTACTGTACCTCCTGGAAGAAAATATCTAGCCGGGTGCCGCAGTGAAACTCCAAGACGGCCGAGCACCCAAACACGACACTCAAAATACCCTGCGGGAACCGATCTATTGATCGAACCCTGACTTGTCCCATCACAATTTATAAGCAGACCAGCGACGACCTCTCACCTTTAACGGTGCACCCCGCCACTCCTTTAGGATTCCGAGTACCGGAAGGGAGCAAGTAAGGAAAGAGCAGTAATCTAAGCCCTATCGAGTGAGAAGCGATGAATTCTACTGTAGCAGCGATACCCGTATGATACAGACCCCCCACCGTGCTGAGACCAAATCTTTTCCGTCCAATACCATACCGGTACGCCAGGGGTATGATATGACATGATATCGCAGGTATGATAGATAGTTTCTTGGGTGTTCCAGATGATAATAATAGTAATAAATAATAATATCCAGAATTCATTAATTAACAAAGTCTGAGTCTAAGCATGTGAGGTTAAAGATTGTGGGTATATATATATATATGTTCCATCCCACTTGCAAAGATCCTCCGTCTCCGCTACACCTCCGGTCATTGAAAAATATTTCCTAATCGGGAACGACTCAACACCGAGGAATCATCACCACTTTTCTATAGCCTTGCACCCCCCCGCCGGGGGGTGCAGGCTGTTTCTTTCCATCCCTCTGCCCATTGGAGCCTCGCTTCTACTCCTTCCCCCATCTAGCATCTCGCCTCTGCTGGATGGGAGTCCTCTCCTCACCCTGGGGGCCTCATCGTGAGGTCTCTGTCCTCTCTACCCCGCTTTTGCTTCACCTCGCTTAGCATCAGCACCGTCGGCTTTGGCGGCTTGGTGATGGCTGGACGGTCAGTTGGGATGGTGGTCCTCTGGGCTATCAGGAGTAGCCTTGCCTACTCCTGTGACCCTAGTTGCAGCCTCTTGCCGTATTGTTTGGCCGGATCTTTGCTTCCTTACCCTCTTCCTCTCCCCTCCTCCGGGATCGGCTGGCACCCTACTGCCAGGATCGGCTGGCACCCTACTGCCTCGGCCTTCGGGCCCTATCTTCACTGAGGTGGTAGTGCTTTGGCCTGCCCCTCCCACCTCCCCTCCGCGCCACTATTACTTGGTGCTGCTCTCACTTCTGCCATCCTCGCGGTAGCTCTACAACTCTTTCCTGGCTCTGGTATCACTACAGGCACCATCCAACCTTTTCCACAACCAGACTCCTCATGGCTGGGGTCTACCCCCTCCCTCCTTGGCAGTATCGGCTGCCCTCCTCTATCACAGGTTGCTGGCATCTCTCGCCTGTCTTCCTCCCTCCACGCTTGCCGCCCGCCCTCGACCGAACAACCGGTTGGCCTATCTTGGTATTACACTATCTCCTGGGTTGAGCTGGCCGGCCCCGTCATGGCATTTCGCCAGGACCCTATTGTGGGCCTGACAGCAGACACATTCGTTCATGGACGCCTGTAGAGGCGCTTGGGGGTTTCTTAATCTATTCTTTCCTTTGTCGAGATGACGCTGAAGGGTTTTCTTCCCTCTCCTGCCTTCCCTGTAGAGGACGATTGTTCCTGTGCGGGGCGGGATGTGCGGTTAGGCCCATACCAGAGGGTCTTGGGGGGGTTGTTTTGGTCCCTGGGGCGCGGGGGAATTCGTTTGGAATTAAGGTTTTGTTTTTGCCATAGCTAATGCTCCATGCAGGTTCTTGTACCTTAACAAAGAATATATGAGTTAAACAAAAAAAAACAAAAAAAACCATCCCACTTGCAAAGAATTTTACTTCACCAAGGGGATATCTCCTTGGCAAAGCAGAGAACTTGCCCTGTAGGATAGCTCACTCACCAAGTTAAATTTTTCTCATCCTACCTACCAAGTAGAATATATTAATTCTTTTTTTATGTACTACTACTTCTCTTCTTGTCTCCTTATTCCTTTCTCACCCCATCTATAATTCAACAATTCATACCTTATTCTGAAAAGGTATTTTATGTGAATACTATCATACCTGTTGATTTTTGGCCTATTAAGAACTTTTCTTTTGATTTTCTTGGTTTGTTTGGAATGTAGGAGGAGATGGTAGTAAGGTATTTCTTTACTCTATTAACTAGTTATGGCATGCTCATTAAAGGCATACAGTCCTTGAATATTTTAGTTGATTTGTATGAGGTGGAGTCTGTCTCACCCCTCAGACTCTCTTTCTTTTCCATTATTTTTCTCTCCCTCTGGTTGCTCTTTTCTTTCTCCACATAACCAGTTATTTTCTATCCAACACATGACAGATAAAACTATTCTTGTAAACCTCAATTAAAAAAACTTAAAGTTTTCCGTCCTGTGCTTCATTTGGCCTTCCATCCTATTCTCTATCTATTCCATTATCCTTTACTCCATCCTATCCTCCATTCAGTTCTATATTTGGTAACTCTCTGTTCCCACATTTAATTCTTAAAAAAAATATTCAATTTGATAAACAAATAACTAAAGTGTTTATTCACATTCAATGAAAAGTCTGAAAATGTACCAGAATTACCTTTCTGCTCATAGGAATGCAATGAGAATAACTTATAAGACATACTGGTACTATTATTCCTATAGATTTTGATTTTTTTTTTACTATTATGTCACTTTACCAAAAAGCTTGGTCAATGGGATAAGTAAAAAGTTCCTTTGTGTGTAGGATATCCTACCAGGAGAGTGACCTACTTGGCCGAGAGGATATCCCCTTGACGAAGAAAAATTCTTTACCAGTGGGATGGAACATATGTATATGATATATGGTATTAACTTATATCGTAGATTATTCGCGTCGCGTTCTGATTTTGTGATATCTATCATACAGTACATGACTTATGTAGACTAGACTGTGACGTGACATCATACCGGTACACGCTCTGGGAATTCGGGGGTTGGATTAATGGTAGTCTAGTGTGGAGGGTTTGTTGTGTATAGAAAGAAGTGTTAGGAGTTGGCAATGTAGCCTTGCTAGTACAGTTCAGTGACAAAAGTGATCGTTGGCAATGCAACAGATCGCATGAGAACAACCACATCCACAGTCATGCCACCACCACGTACCGCAACCAGAAAAGGTCGATACAGGAAGAGAATAGGGAGAAAAGAGTGGCCGGAGTCGACCCATTGGAGAGCAGTAGGGATGAGGGAGGTTGGAACGAGTTTTGCCGAGATATCCCGCCGAGTAAAAATACCACCTTCTACACTCGCTTCTGCCTTCCAATGATACCAGGACACAGGTGCAGTTCTAGCACATACCAGAACCGGCAGAGTGCAAAAAGTTACTGCCCGGGGAAGCCGTCATTTAGCTATTGCCTCCCGTCGCAACCGAGAAATGCCACTTTGGCAACTGCGCCGAGATTTTGCTCCTGATGTTTCAGTCCGGACCATTAAGAGAAGGCTTGCAGAACATGGTATTCATAAGCATATAAAGGCTGAGAGACCAAGGTTAACACCTGTTCTGGCAAGGAAGAGATATATCTGGTGCCTCAAGCATAGGCACTGGACAATTGCACAATGGAGGAGAGTGGTCTGGAGTGATGAATGCAGTGTGGAGAAATCTGCAGATCCAGCAGTTCAATGGGTCTTCAGAACATCCAAAGAAAAATGGCTTCCAGAGTGTGTGAAGGGAGTGAGGAAGTCTGGAGGTGTTAAGCAGATGGTATGGGCCTGTTTTTCTGGTGGATTGAAGGGAACATGCAATGGGATGAGGGTGGTAGGAGAGGGTAAGGTGGATGCAAGAGCATATGTTAGGACTTTGGACTTTTCTTTGCTTGATTTTTTAGAGGAATTGAGGGAAATGGGTATTAGGCCAATCTTTATGCAAGATAATGCTAGGGTGCATACTGCTAGGCTTACTATGGCATGGTTGGAGGAGAATGAGGTGGAAGTGTTAGAGGATTGGCCCCCATATTCACCAGATCTTAACCCCATTGAGCATGTTTGGGTACACCTCAAGAAGCTTTATCATGAGCATTATGCTCACTTGGCTGCAGATACTAGATCAGCAGAGAAGATAAAGCCTCTGATAGAGGAGGCCCTTATTCATTGTTGGGAGTTGATACCAGACTCTTTGTTTGAAAGATTGGTAGAGGGTATTCCCAGGAGGATTGAAGCAGTTATTAAGGCAAAAGGGTGGTATACTAAATATTAAATTGATAATTTTCACTTATTTCTTTTATTCTATCTATTTACAAAAAAATTCTGCAGTTCTATCTGGATCTGATATTATATGGGAAGTGGATGTTGCGGAGTGGTGGGCGGGCGGGCGCGTTGTCAAGTACGGCAACGATCACTTTTGTCCAAGAACTATACCAGTATTTGTGTTTTTGTTTCTTTTTTGCTATTGGGTAGGCTTGTGGACATGCAGTCGTCTGGAGAATGTGGGGTTGTAGATAACTGATGCGATACCGGTGTTTGAGGTTGGGATACAAGTATCTATCAATCTACTTTACGCTAGGAGATTCTAAGGTCATCGGTTGGTATCTACGATCTATAAAGCATGATGCTGTGCCTGTCTATCATACCCTCACCGGCGCACAGAGCTCTGCGAAAATACGGTAGGATTAACAGATTGTAATCTCATAGAAGCGAAGCAAGCAAAGAAAAAAAAAAAAAGAACAGAAAAAAGCGTAAAGTATCACAAAACGTGCATACTAACATTAAGAATCCCATTCCATCCCAACTCACTGCCCCCCGTGGTAAAGTGATCAAACAATCGGCAACCTAGTACCGATACCTAGTACTATAATCCTTCGGGCTAACCACCAACCCACGACCCTTTCTGGCACCCTTATAAATTGTTTCGATCTATATGATAAAAACAAAACATTAGCACCTCCACAAGGAAAAAAAAAAAAAAAAAAAAAAAAAAAAATACAAACTCACAATATCAATCAACTCCTGTTTATCCTCCAGCACCCAATTCATCTTGTTATTATTCCCGGTGCCAAAGTCACACATCATATGCTTGTTGCGGAAGAAGAACATGATGGTGAGGGGGTCGTAGAGCTCGTACATCTTGTTGAAGTCGGGCACCTCGTCGATGTCGCAGAGGTAGACGACGGCAAAGTTCTTCACCTTGTCGGCGATGCGGTAGAGTATCTCGTCCTGGCGCATGCAGTCCGGGTCCCAGTCGCGGCCGAAGCGGATCACGACGAGTCGGTCGTCCTCCGACATTATGGCTTGGTCCACGTGCCAGCCGGTCTTGAGGTGGGGGAGGACGACGGAACCCATGTTTTGCTTTGAGCCGTCTTCTCTTTTCTTTTCTTTTCCGTGGCTGGTGTGCGGCGGCGGGGGGAAGTTGGAGGGTGAGTTGTGTCTGCGCTTGGTGGAAAGGTAAGGAAGGAAGGAAGGAAGGAAGGTATCATGCATAGCATGGTAAGCAAAAGTCGTGGTGCCCACGAAAACAAGCTGTCGGAAGGAGGGTAACCTTTGTGTAATGTTGAGGTTATGATACGCTGGGGTCCCACCACTCCAAAACCCGCTACATTATCATAGGCTCCCAAACCGTTCATGCCAATTCCAAAGTCACAAAGATACCATGGTCGTGAACGAACGAATAGCATAGATGATGGAAGACGACACTTTAACCTCCTCCACCCTTTTCCTCACGCCAACTCCAGTGCTTTGATCATGAGATAGCCACGAGTATGGTGTATACCCATGACAAGGGATGGGAAGTAGTTTCATTCATCCATACAAACCATACAAGATCGCACTCCTTTACAACGAGCGAGCGATACAAGTACAGCATATGGGATGGATTATTACCATTACAGCTAAAAACCACACACTCACTCCTGACTGCTACTAAACCTAGATACTTACCACGAACTGCCGTATTCTACCCTACCAAGTCACTCGCAAGAAATCACCCAGCCCCGAAACCCCGCCGACAGCAACCGATCTATCATTAGAAAGGCCCCAACCAGTCACTATCCTATCCCAGGCAGAAAAAAGACAGGACAGGAAAAACAAGACATAACTCAACTCCCATAAAAGAACCCCCTGCACGCAAGAAACAAGTGTTCTCGCTTCGTCTCTCTATCATAAAAAGTATATCCCTCCCAGTGGTAATCCAGCAAGCAAGCCGCCCGTAAACTCCGTGAACATGACAAGACCCTTAGCAAGAACAAAGAAAAAAACAGCCGAAAGAAACAAATGACAAACGTGGGCCGCCGCCGCCGCTTCAGGGCCGTACTTGAGTAGTGATCACTGAATGACACACTCCCTCAAATCCTTATCTCTACTCCCCCTCCTCACTGTCTCCTTGCCTTTGCCTTTATCCTTGCCTTTGCCCCTCTCTTTCTCCTTCCCCTCCTTCGGCCCCTTCTTCTCCATAGCCTTGAACACAGCTTCTTTCAATCCCTGTCCTCTCCCCTTGCCCTCGACACCATCCCTCTCATCCCCATCCACCACCACCACCTCCCCCAACGACGACGACTCGGACTCCTTTCTCTCATCCCTACTTCCACCTTCGCCCAGCCTAGACGACACTCCAATCCTCGCCCATTCTGAACTTTTACGGCCCCTTTCTTTGTCCTGGCTTCTAGCCCTAGTCATCAGTACCGACGCCCAGCTCGAGCGTTTATCCGACATCTCGCTTTTCGAGCGACGGCTGGAGGAGCGGGCCACGGGAGGGCCATCTTTGGAGCCCGGGCGGTTGTCGGAACGGGAGGTCGGCCGGAGGCTTGCTTCCGGGTCTAGTAGGGACCTATAGGGCATTATTGGGATGGGAGTTGTCGGGGAGGATCCCGTTGGGGATGGTTGCGGGGAGGTTTTGCTCTCGACGATGTATGGCGGAGGTGGGGATGGGCAGCGCTCCAGACTGTCGTGCTTCTCGTAAACTGGTGGGTCACTAAACGTTGGTGGCTCGTCGCCGCCAAACTCGGTGGAGCTCCTGTTGACTCCCAAGTCTAGAGCGCAAGAGCCCCCGGATCCGCCAGATACTACCGACAATCTCTTCTCCTGCGGGTAATCCATCGTCGAGGCTACGCTGGGTGTTGTAGCGCTGGTATCATCCTCTATGGGCTGAACCTGGTAAAACAGTAGATAAGGGCTCTCCTCTTCGAATGCCCTTTCGGGTTCTATCTCGGAGACCCTATTCGAGTATGCTAAATCGTCAAAACGTAGCCACTTGTCATCTTCTCCCCTTATCAGTGCAACGTAATGGCCGCTATGAACTGAATTTCCACGATGGCACACAGCCGATTGGAGTACCAATTTGAAGTTCCCGTATAGCGGGCCATCATCGTCTCCGCCCATCTCATCGTCAGCCACAAAGGTAGGCAACGCGATTTGCAACGGGATGTCCACTCTTCGGCGGTCCCTTCGCGCCCCACCAGTCACGCTCCAAGAATACCGCTTCAGGCATAACCCCAGCACAGGGCGCTTTGCCGAAAAGTGCTCCGCAAAAGTCTTTGGTGCGGGAGTAGGTAAGGTATCGGTGTAGAAAGGCAAGATACTAAAAAAGCACCAGGCTGGCAGCAACACCTCCTTCCGTAAGGTGGTAGACCTCTTAAGTTTGCCATCCTTACTCTCGATTTCGCTCTCCACCTTAACCGTCCTAACGAGCAAAGGTTTTCCCGCCGCTGAAGGTCCGGGGGCAGAAGCAGCGGGAGCTGGAGGAGGAGGAGACTGTGAGGATATCGGGGTAGCTACCGGCGTATTTGGTGAACTACCCAAGTCCGCAGTCTCGATATGAAGTGCCGAGCCCTTCTCCATATCATGTGAATGTGTAGTATCAGCCGTCGCTCTACGCTCTAGCTGACGCCTAACGTCCACACGTCCGTTAAAATATTCTACACGCGAATAAGCTCATGCACTCACTGGCCCAATGGGTCATTCCAGAGATATTCAAACCTTCAAGACAGGCCTCTAACGGTATCGGATCTCTGGAATCAGCACCCTCATCGGGCAGAGCCACATTCAAGAGTCTCTCGGATATGAACTTGTGGTCATCTTCGACTATCTCCTTGCCCCCGTGTGCAATGTCAACTTTTACCGTCAACAAGGGGAGCTGAAGTGTATCGGTGATAAAAGTAAAAACCTCCGAAGGGTCTTGCTGCCGGAGGGACGAAGCTTCCCCCCAACCACATTCCGCGATGGACTGCTGTATCTGGCCGACCTAAAAAGGGGGGAGAAAAGAGTTATGCAAGCTTCTCAATTAAAACACCAAAAGAGGGAACCCCTACTATATCCGTGGTAATCAAATGCCCCGAGCGCAACAGATTCACAAACAGTCGTAAGAGCGCTGCGAGCTTCCTTCGCTTCTCGTCATCTTCGTCAAACACATTGTACAACATGGCCTGCAGGAAACCCGGTTCAGCCAACGTGGCAATCAAAACCCCATCCCCCTCCAGCAAACAAAAGAGAAGGATAGGGGAGGGGGCTCGGAAAGGGAGACTCCACCTCAAAAGCGTCCAACCTGGCGAACATGGCAAATAGCAGCGTATCCAGATAACAGGTGACCCCGCCATTATTCTCCGCCCCCAGCATCTTCACGTCGCTCCTGACCCTGGAGACGATGCCGTCGTTGGAGTCCTCAATCATCACGAGCAACTGCAGTGCCTTGTCGGCGTTCCCGTTCGCATAGCGACCCCGTAGCACTCGCTGGACCGTCTTGTCCTCGACCTTGATGCCAGCTTTCGCCAGCTCATTCGCAATCTTCGTCACCTGCACAGACACTCCTGGTAAGCTCGAGTGAATCCCCCAAGCGGCTGCGAGGATGCTCTGGTAGTTCCAGAACATTTCAACTACTACATTTGTGCCGGCAGAATCGTCCGACTTGCACAGAGACTTTCTCGGCTTTTCTTCACCCCCGTAGAGGTCCCCGGAGAAGAGGCGAGGCTGTATCCAGGGAGGCATCGGCATAGCTAGGTTAGCTTCTTATCGGACAAAACCCTCGATGATTTTTTTTTTTCCGTCGTCCGCATCGTAAGGGGAGAGGTATTGAGTGCGAGAGAAAGAGGGCCGTCCCGGCAAAGGCGGGAGGGGGAAGAGAAGGAGGATGAAGGGCGGAGGCGGCAAGGTAATGCATGCCTAGGGCATGACCACCCCCAGAGAGAGACAGAAAGGAATAGGCCGGGGCCGGAATGCACATACCTTATCTGGCTTGTCCCTCTTGAGCGGGTTTGGGCGGTTCTCCCGTTTGCTCATCAAACGAGAAAGCGGCATTGAGAGCGAAAGAGCAGCGGTGTCACCGCGGTAAACGTCGAAGTGATCGACCGGAGTGGGGTGCCTGAAGGAACCAAGGTATCCGTCGGCAAAGCTAACGGTACAGTATTGCCCCTTCTTCCTTTCGCGGCGAGGGAGGGTTCCTAGAGGATGGGAGATGGCGGGGAGGGGAGCTCTATACGGGACCGGGCTGAAGGTGTATCATATCGTAGAAACGGGTTTTAAGGAGGGGTGGATGAAAAAGAAAAAGGTAAGGGATGGGAGCCAGGGTCCCCCCACACCAGATGCTAGTGACCGACAATACAATTCCCGGCACGGCAATATGATCGGCTTGATCGACGGCGAACTGGTGCCCGGAAAAGCGCGGTGGCCAGGCACGGAGTGTATGATACGGTAGTGCCAGACCAGAAAA